CCCTTCATACTTGTAATCATTTTGAGTTTTTATGTGTTTGCATGATTAATCCACATGGAATTGTTTTGCTATGTATAGGGGGTGGAATTAACTTCATTTCCTTCCAAATGCAATCAAGTCTACTGACTGAGTTATCCTTTGTCTGCCAACTGGAAATTCCACATTTGGGATGTACTAAATTCTTCTATGTATAAAATGTATAAATTAATTTTTAGCCATGGCTGGTGTGGCTCAGCGGACTGAGTACCGGCCTGCGAACCAAAGGGTAGCAGGTTTGAGTCCCAGTCAGGGCACAGGCCTGGGTTGCACACCCAGTAGGGGGGGTGCAAAAGGCAACCACACATTACTGTTCTCTCCCTCTCTCCCTGCCTTCCCCTTTCTGTAAAAATAAATAAATAAAACCTTTAAAAATAAATTAATTTTTAAAATATGCACACCTGGAAAACTGGGCCGCGTTCTAATTTTCAGTCTTAGCCATACATTTGACCCATGAACAATGGGAGTAGGGTGTGCTGACACCCCACATGGCGGATAATCTGCATGTGACTTTTGACTGCCCCAAAACTTAACCACTAATAGCCTGCTGTTGACCAGAAGCCTAATTGATAACAAGTAGGCGATTGACACATATTTTGTATTTTATGTGCATTACATACTGTATTCTTACAATAAAGTAAGCTAGAGAAAAGAAAATATTACTAAGAAAATCAGCCCTGGCTGGCATAGCTCAGTGGATTGAGCGCAGGCTGCGAACCAAAGTGTCGCAGGTTCGATTCCCAGCCAGGGTACATGCCTGAGTTGCAGGCTATAACCCCCAGCAACCGCACATTGATGTTTCTCTCTCTCTCTCTTATCTCCTTCCCTTCCCTCTCTAAAAATAAATAAATAAAATCTTTAAAAAAAAAAAGAAAATCACAAGGAAGAGACAATACATTTATGGTACTGTACATATTTATTGAAAAATATCGAGAGTACGCCCTGGCTGGCGTAGCTCAGTGGATTGAGCGCGGGCTGGGAACCAAAGTGTCCCAGGTTTGATTCCCAGCCAGGGTACATTCCTGGGTTGCAGGCCATAACCCCCCAGCAACCGCACATTGATGTTCCCCCCCCCCTCTCTCTCTCTCTCTCTCTCTCTCTCTCTCTCTCTCCCCCCCTTCCCTCCCTAAAAATAAATAAATAAAATCTTTAAAAAAAAAAGAAAGAAAGAAAAATATCGAGAGTACGAACTGCGGCGGCCAGAGCCATGGCAGGGCAGGCATTTAAAAAGTTTCTGCCCCTCTTTGACTGTGTATTGGTTGAAAGGTGTGCTGCAGAAACTGTAACCAAAGGAGGCATTATGCTTCCAGAAAAATCTCAAGGAAAAGTATCTCAAGCAACTGTAGTAGCTGTTGGATCGGGCTCCAAAGGAAAGGGTGGAGAGATTCAACCAGTTCACTTGAAAGTTGGAGATAAAGTTCTTCTTCCAGAATATGGAGGAACCAAAGTAGTTCTAGATGACAAGGATTATTTCTTATTTAGAGATGGTGACATTCTCGGAAAGTATGTAGACTGAAATAAGTCACTATTGAAATGGCATCATGTGACGCAGTCCATTCCTTTGAAGTACTGAAATCTTTCATCATGTAAATAATTTCCGTGTCTCTTTTATAATAAATGAATGATATCCAAAGTAATGACATCCAGTGTCTTTTAAAACTGAATTTCACTGTACTGATATGTACTAACATTTCCAAATAAAGATATATAAACAAATGGTGAAAAAGAAAAGAAAGAAAGAAAAATATCCACATAAGTGGACTTGCACAGTTCAGACCTATTTTGTTCAGGGGTCAATTGTATATACATGGATTAGGTATGGTTGTTACTCATTCAACAAAACTTCCTGAGTGCCTGTTCTATGCCAGGTGCATGCTGGGTACTGGGGACACTGCCACAGACAAAACAAAAATATGAATCCCTGCCCTTGGGCATGCGGGCAGACAACAATCAATGCATAAATGTGTGACATGTCAGGTGGTGGTAAGAAACAAAATAAAATAAGGTGATTTAATGGCGGGGAACATGGTGCTGTTTTAGGTAGGATGGTCAGAGAAAGACTCTTCCAGGGTGTGCTCTTTGAGCCCAGGCCTGAAGGAGGTGGAGCCACGTGGACTTCTTAGGGAAGAGTTTACTAGGTGGAGGGAGTCAGTACAAAGGTCCTGAGTGGAGACTGTGCCTGGTGAGTTTTCAGTGTAACCAGAGGCCAGGGAGGCTGGAATGAAATGAATGAAGGGGAGAAAGGGAGGAGGTGAGGACCCTGAGGGGAGAGCCCCCTGTGGGTTGTAATGAAGAGCTGGGCTTCTTCTCTGAGTGAGGTGGGAGCCACGGGCAGGGCGGGGGGGAGGTTCAGGCAGAGGAAGGATGTGCCCTGACTCAGGTGTTTGCAGGCCGCAGTGGGAGGAACACAGTGTGGATATAAGGGTGAGAGCTGAGAGACCAGGGTGGAGATACCTGCCCTGGTCCAGGCAAGAGATGAGCACCGTGTGACAAGGGTTTGGGCCAAGGAGTGAGTGAGAAATGGTTGGATACTGGGTAGATTCTGAAGGTCGAGCTGATGTTAAGCAGAGAGACATCCCAGGCTTCTGGCCTGAGCGCTCTGGAAGACAGCTGCCATTTTTGAGTTGAGGCAGGTCAGGGGACCATCAGGTAGGGACTCGAATGTGGCAGTGCTGAGTGTGAGACACCCATGAAAGCCTTATGTGGGGCACTGGGAGACAGGTGTCTCAGGAGTGTGCAGCTTGAGGGCCAGGCCCTCCCCAGGGACTGCCATTTAGGCATCATCAGGATGGAGTTGGTGGAAGTCCTGAGTCTACATGAGTGACTCCAAGGGACTAAGTGTATCTGGGAAGAAAAGCAGCTGTGGCCTGGATACCACCCGGACTGGGTGGGGTGGGACTATCTGGCTTTGCAGCCAGGGACCTCAGGAACCACACAATGTCTTTAGGAGGCCTGGTCACTCAAGGCCATGGCTTGGAGCCTTGGACCTCGCCTGTTTGCTGAAGCCTGGGCCAGGGGTCAGGTCGGGCCTCCACAGCTATAGGCCACCAAGGGGTGTAAACTTTTTTGGGAATGCTGAGTTAGTGGTCAGAGTGGGGTAGGAGTCAGGGTGGTGATGGGGACTGGGAGGCAGCAGCTGTAATTACTGAGCACCGAGTGTATGTGACCACACTGAATAATCCCACGCTAACTGTATACCCCACACTGAATATACAGGATCCAGCAGAAGTAACGCCATTGAGTGTGGTTGGTGGGACACGCAAACGTCTTGCACGAGTTGGGCAGCAGTTTGAACATTTCACCTAAGATGTCACATGGTTTACTTGAGTATAATATTGCTATGTTACAGAATTACATGCTTACGATTTTATGATAAAAGATTTTTATGGGCCCTGGCTGGTGTAGCTCAGTGGATTGAGCACAGGCCTGCAAACCAAAGCATTGCTGGTTTGATTCCCAGTCAGGGCACATGCCTGGGTTGCAGGCCATATCCCCAGTATGGGGTGTGCTAGAGGCAACCATACATTGATGTTTCACCCCCTCTCTTTCTCCCTCCCTTCCCCATCTCTCTAAAATAAATAAATAAAATCTTTAAAAATAAAAGATTTTTATGTGATTAAAAAGGGGCATTATTTGTGTGGACCCTGTATATTTCTGCTGACTATACCCCATGCCAACTGTATGTGGTTAACTATACTGTGAAGTATACAACTGGCCCCAATGGCTGTTGGGAGATGCAGTCAGACTGAGGGAGTATATGATTTACAAGGGGGTAGATGGTTGGTGTCGGGGTACAGCCAGCTGACTTTGCACCCTCTGCCAATTGTATACTTCCAGAATGGCTGTACAACTTCATGCTGACTGTACACCTCCACCCCTACTGTGTACCCCACATTGATTAAACACCCCATGGCAATTGACTACCTCCGTGTCAGGTCTACGACTCCATACAGACTGTATAATGCCACTTTGACTACGCCTCATGCAGTGCCCCCCATACCTGCTGTATGCCCCCACAGTGGTTGAACACCCACACTGACAACACAGTAGGTCCATTCCAACTGTAAGCCCCATGCCTGGTGTTCAACCAGTTTCAGTTTCATACTTCAGCCCCATTTCACAGTTGAGGAAACAGGCTCAGGGAAGGCAAGGCCACACTGGCCTAGGTGTCTTCCTGCTCAGTGGGGCAGAAGGAACATTTAAACCCAGGGCCACCCAGTAAGATGTTGGTTGCTCCACAGGACACACAAGATTGGGTCTCGCTGAGAGTGACACACTGTAATTGGTGTCCACCCCAGGGCCTGCGCCCCAGAGGGACTCAATAAATACTAGCTCTACAAAAAATGGCTTCTGAACTTGTGATGGTGAGAGTGTGCAGGGATGATGAGCTCAGGTGTGTAGCTTTGGGTCTACAAATGGACCAGCTAGGGATAGTGCCAGGCAGGAATGTGGCATGGGGTCTGCTGGCCCCAACTCGCCAGTTTTCAAGAAACAGATCATGTGGATTTTTACATGGACTCTCCCCATGTTTAACTGTTGGCATTTGGTTTTTCAAAAATGCAGTCCCAAATGAAATACATACACTGGTTTGAGAATTTTCAGCTCAAGGACTTCACAGTTGGGTGTTTGGGGTCAGCCATCTGCCGGTTTTGCCCGCGCCGCCGCCCCCCCCCCGCCCCATCCCGGGTCTAGAAATCGACCTCCTTGTGCTTCAGTTTCCATACCTAGAGAATGGAGTGACAGACGCCCTTCAGGGTTGAGAGGTGTGTGACCTGGTGAGGGATTGGGGTGGGGGTGCCTAGGGGCCAGGGTGAAGACACAGGGTTCCCCGCGTGGGGGCTGGGGAGGGGGTGGGGAGGGCTAAATCCGGCCGGCCGTTGAGTGGCAGGAGCAGCTGCCGCCCCGCCCGTCCTCTTCTCTCTCCCTCTGTCGGTCGGTTGTTTGGCAGCTGCTCAGCTGGGGCCGGTCTGACTGGTTTGGGCTGCCCCGCCTGGCTCCTTGTCGGGAGGAGCCGCCGCCAGTTGGTCCTGCGGTCCCTCCCTCGGGACGCCCACGCGGCCAGACCCCTGAGCTGAAGGGGCACAGGAGCTGGCAGGCCGACGCAGGGATGGGGGGCGAGCAGCAGCATTACTACGGGAAGCACGGTAGGCAGCCCCACTCCTGCACCCTGGCCTGACCACTGGGCAGGAGCAAAGCGAATGCCGATCTCTGTAGCCACCCCCTACTATCACCTGCCAGCACCCCTCACCATCACCTGCAGGCACCCCTTACACCAGTCTTACTCCCGAGAGTGTCTCAGAGGTCCCTCCAAATCCCCTCACTCGAAGGGCCCGTTCTTGAAGCCCTCTCCCCAGTACTCCTGTGGGGTTTCCACCTTGGACTCTCCCATTTTTACCTAGTCCCCTCCCCAGTGGGTGGCCTCCAGCTGATAAATCCAATTAGCAACTCCTCCCCCAGCCCCCGACCGGCTCTGCTGGGGGCTTGAATGTTTTCTCTGCGGGAGTTTGGATGAGGCAGAAAATCTACAGTGTCTCTGAAATTGACTCCTGGGGCCAAAGATACCCCTACGAGCCTTCTGGGAGAAGGTGGTCGCCCAGCCCTTCTTGGCCCACCCACCTCTATCTTGCTTATTTTCAGGAACCCCACAGAAGTATGACCCTACCTTCAAAGGACCCATTTACAACAGGTAAGGGCTCTGGGTTTTGTGGGATGGAGGGGGTGTCAGCTAATACTGTCCCACCCCTGTTTCCTCATACTCTATCAGTTCTCCAACAAACTGGTGATAAGTTATTTGCAACTTGACGACGAAAGGCTTTCCAAAATATACAGAGCCCTTACAAGCAAATTTAAAAAACTCAGGCAACATACTGGGACAGGAAATAGACAATGAAGTTATGGAAAAATGTTCAAAGTTACTGGAAAGTAAAGGAATAGAAAGAATTTAAAACAATAACCAAATAGAATTCCCTATCACAGATTTGCAAAGATTAAGTAGATTGGCAGACGTTCTGCTCTGAAAATAATGGTTGTGGTTTTTTAGAGGGAATTTGGAAATATGAAAATTTTATTTTGTTTTTTAAAAGACTTTATTTATTTATTTTTAGAGAGGGAGAAGGGAGGGAGACTGAGAACGAGACCAGCATCAATGTGTGGTTGCCTCTTTCATGCCCCCTACTGGGGACCTGGCCCACAACCCAGGCATGTACCTTGACTGAGAATCAAACTGGTGACCTTTTGGTTTGCAGGCCAGCACCCAACCCACTTAACCCCACCAACCTGGGCAAAATATGAATATTTTTAATGTGCTTTTTGTTACAAAAGTTAAAATTCAAGGAAAAATAATTTTTTAAAAGATTTTATGTATTTATTTTTAGAGAGGGAAGGGAGGGAGAAAGAGAGAGAGAAGCATCAATGTGCGGTTGCTGGGGGCCGTGGCCTGCAACCTTGGCATGTGCCCTGACTGGGAATTGAACCTGTGACACTTTGGTTTGCAGCCTGCGCTCAATCCACTGAGCTACACCAGCCAGGGCTGGAAAAATAATTTTTATAAACCTTGAATACATGGACAAAAATGTATGAAATAGATGTCTTTTTTAAAATGGCAAAAATCCAAGTATCTGAATGTCCATCTGTTGCAACTAGTTAGTTAAGTTGCAGTGGATCCTTAGATTATAATATTACACAGTTAAGATGTACAAGAGTCCTAAATAATGGTATGGATCTCTCAATATATTGAGCAAAAAAAGCAAGACATGAAACAGTGGGTGTTTCATATCACACTCAAGGAAAAAAAAATTAACATTGGTACCTAATAAATGACACAAAGGACTCACATGAAATAATTAACAGGTTATTTATGTGCAGGGGTATGTGCGTGGGAGGGAGACTGATTTCTTTCTTGTATACATTCCCATTTTGTGGTTTTAATTTTTACCATGTTCACATTTTTTACTATGATCATATTTAATCTTTTTTTTTTTAGATTTTATTTATTCATTTTTAGAGAGAGGGGAAGAGAAGGAGAGAGAGGGAGAGAAATATCAATGTGTGGTTGCCTCTCATGTGCCCCCTACTGGGGACCTGACCTGCAACCCAGGCATGTGCCCTGACTGGGAATCAAACTGGCAACCCTTTAGTTCGCAGCTTGCGCTCAGTTCACTAAGCTACACCAGCCAGGGCTGATCATATTTAATCTTATACAAATAGTTTAAATTTTTGAAAACAATAGGTAATGCTGATAAAGAGGTGGGAAAATGGATACTCTCAATCAGAAGAGCACTGCACATTGCTGCAACCTACTTTGAGGACAGTATAGTATTAGGCATTAAAATCTAAAATGTATGTGCCCTTTGGTATATAACATTTGCATAACTCAGGAGCATGTATCTAAATAACACATAGCTATGAGTGTGTGTACAGGGTTCAATGGGTCTGTGAGGCTCTGGCCCAATAGCTCAGTTGGTTAGAGCAGTAGTCCCCAACCTTTTTGGTGCCAGGGACTGGTTTCATGAAAGACAGTTTTCCCATGGATTAGGGGTGGGAGGGGGTTGGTTTTGGGATGATTTAAGTGCACTACATTCAAGCTCACCTCCTGCTATGTGGCCGGGTTCCTGACAGGCACTGACCAGGGGTCCATAGCCCAGGGGAAGGGGGGGATGGGTTGGAGACCCCTGGATTAGAGCATTGTCTCTATAATGCCAAGGTTGTGGGTTTGATCCCCCATCAAGGTCCTGATACTCAGGACCCCAAGGCTCCCACCCTGACTTTGTCCCTTACTCCCAGGGGCTGCACGGACATCATTTGCTGTGTGTTCCTCCTCCTGGCCATCGTGGGCTATGTGGCTGTAGGGATCATAGGTGAGTAGAGAAGGGGACAGGACTTAGGGTTCCAGGGTGAATGGGCAAGCCACAGCCTCTGGGAGAGGAGCGGGGCTGGTGCTGAGGAGTGGCAGGCACTGCCTTAGCATCTCTGCATTCTTCCATAGCTTGGACCCATGGAGATCCTCGAAAGGTGATCTACCCCACTGACAGCCGAGGCGAGTTCTGTGGGCAGAAGGGCACGAAAAATGCGTAAGTCTGGCTCCTGGGGGCCTGATGGGTCTGGTGAGGAATGGGCAGGAGGGCTTTATGAACTCTGGAGAGAAGATTCTAGGTTTCTCCCACCTCCATCCACCCATCAGTTAGTCCAATCGACAGATATTTATAAAACTCCCACCATCCCCAGCCACTGTACTAGGCCTTGGGGACAGCATTAAATGAGACATTAAGAGTCTTGTCCTCTTGAGGCCCATGTTTTATGGGAGAGACAGAAAGGAGACAGTATCGGATCCAATGTCAGGTGGTAGTGAGAAGCTGAGGTAAAGGAGGGAATTCTTTTACTTCACCTGTAAAAGTGAGGGCTATACCACTCTCTGGCTATGTGATGTAGTGTAAATGTCTGAGACCCTCTGGGCCTTATTTTCCCATCTCCAAAGTGGGGATTATAATAGTCCCATCGTAACAGGGCTGCTATGATGGTTAAATGAGCCTGTATGTGTGTAGAGCTTAGAACAGCACCTGCTATGGAGTTGCTGCTGCTGTAGTTAATTACTGTTAGTTTCATGGAGATATTTCATGTAAGGTGGTTGAGTTTTCACCTCCGTTCCCCAACCCCAGGAACAAACCCTTCCTGTTTTATTTCAACATTGTGAAGTGTGCCAGTCCCCTGGTCCTGCTGGAATTCCAGTGTCCCACCCCCCAGGTAACTTGTCCCCTCCTCATCCCTTCTCTGTCCCCCATTTCCATCACCAGGTCCTTTTTCCCTGTAGTGATGGGTTCTCACCCAGCTTTTCCTTTTTCCTTGGCAAACCCTCTGTCTGAGTGGGAATCAGGCATCTGACCCCACCCCGCCCTGCCTCTTGCCCCCTCTCCTTCCAAGATCTGTGTGAAGAAGTGCCCAGACCGATACCTTACCTTCTTGAATGCTCGAGTTTCCCAGGACTGGGAGTACTACAGGCAGTTCTGCATACCTGGCTTCCAGGACAACAAGGTGAGGGGTGCCTAGGCAGGGCCAGGTAGAGGGTGCTGGTCTGGGGATTAACTGCCCCCATCTCTTAACAGGGTCTAGCTGAGGTGCTTCGGGATGGCGACTGCCCCGCTGTCCTCACTCCTAGCACACCCCGTGAGTCTGGAGTCCTGTGAGCTTGGGTGGGGTGCGGGGAGGTGTCAGGGGCTCAGCTTGACTGCTCTCCCATCCTTTGCTCCATGCAGTGGCCCAACGATGCTTGCCAGCCATCCACGCCCACAAGGGGGTCCTCATGGTGGGCAATGAGACAACCTATGAGGATGGGCATGGTGGTCGGAAAAACATCACTGAGCTGGTTGAGGGCGCCAAGTGAGGACTGAGGCCCACCATCCCAGTATTGCGCTTTCCTGGGAGGGAGAGGGCATCCCCTGGGGCTGCACCCATCTGGTAGGGGTCTGACACTACCCTGGTCTGCCTTACCCCAGGAACGCCAATGGGGTCCTCGAGGCTCGGCAGCTAGCCATGCAGATATTTGAAGATTACACAGTCTCCTGGTACTGGATTATCATGTAAGATGGGAGGGACAGTGGCCTTTCCTGGGAGGGGCAGTCTGGAGCTGGTGAGAGGGTGAGGCCTGCTCATGCCCCTATTTTGTTCCCCAGAGGCCTGGTCATTGCCATGGTGATGAGCCTCCTGTTCATCGTGCTGCTCCGCTTCCTGGCTGGCATTATGGTCTGGGTGATGATCGTCTTGGTGATTCTGGTGCTGGGCTATGGTGCGTTTTCCCTCCCTTCCTACTTCTTTCCCTATAGTTTGAGAGATGCTCATGCCCTTTGACCTGGCACTGGTCCTTCAAGACTCCTCTCCTAAGCCATCAGACGTCCTCTATCTTTTGCTTGGCAGATTTGTGAAGATGTTCATATCAGTGTCATTTATGACAGCAGACACTGGAAAACAATCTCAGTGCTCTTTCTGGGGGCATGAGTTAAATCAGTCTTCCAAACTGGGGCCTGGGTCTGCATTTTATCGACACCAAAAGGCATTCACAAGTAGACTACTCGGGACAGTGCCTAAGGTTGCATGCTGTGTCACCAGGAAACTGGGGGTTCAAATACTGGTTCTGCCAACTCATCACTGACCTTGGGCAAATGATTCGACCTCCCTGTGCCTCAATTTCTTCTTCTATAAAATGGGATAATTAATATTTACTGGTTAGGCAGCTTAATGAGAAGAAGATAGTATGGGGAGGAGATGGGAGAGCTGAGGCCTGTGGAGCCTAGAGGTCAAGATCAAAACTCAGCGCTTTATATTCTGATTATTCATTTAAACTTTCCAGGAGGAAAGACGGCCCAATGTGCAACCTAATCTGAAAACACAGATATTAAAATATTCATGTCATTAGTGGTTTCTAGCTGGATGCTGGCATTTGAGGCAACTAGACTTTTTTTTTTAAATTTTATCTGTATTTTATAATTTCTTCTCTAATGAGCTAAGAGGAATGTTCAAGTTCCCTAATGCTGCCCTACTGGGTGTCAACACCCATGCCCCTCCTACCCATAAATCATTGTAACAAAGTTGAAAGGGGGTCAAGGGGAAACCTTAGGCCACACAGCATCCTGACACATATCCACGCATTCACCAAACATGTACTTCATGCCTGCTGTCTGCTAGACAGTTTTCTAGGTGCTGGGCTTATACCAATGAATGAAACAGGACAAAGCCTTGCTCCTGTGGAGCTTGTATTCCTGAGGGTATGGGGCAGATGGACAAGAAACAAACCAGAAACCCTCTAGCATGCCAAAGTAAAGAAGAGGGATAAGAAATTGGAGTGTGAGCGGGTAAGGTTCTAAAAAGGCGAAGGGTTTCTGGAAGTTCTCGTGAGAAGATGACATTCAGCGCAGGAGGATGTGGAGGATCTGATGGGGAGAGACTGTACCAGGAAGTGAGGACAGCAAGTGCAAAGGCCCTGGCAGGAGCAAACGGTGGCAGCCCCTCTCAGCCTCTGTTTTTGCTTCTGTTAAATCAGGGTGGTTGTACCTGCTTTGCTGTGTTGAGGGAGTAGTCAGCAGGCTGTAGCGTGGTGATTCCTGTGTGCAGGCATATTTCACTGCTACATGGAGTATACCCGACTGCGTGGTGAAGCTGGCTCTGACATCTCCTTGATGGACCTCGGCTTTCAGACAGACTTCCGTGTGTACCTGCATTTGCGGCAGACCTGGATGGCCTTCAGTGAGTCCCAAATCCCCATTTCTGCCTCTAGTCAGGTTTGGGAGAGAGTGGGGACCCAGGCAACTGGCAGACTTGGCCACTCTCTGCTCTCTACAGTGATAATTCTGAGCATCCTTGAGGTTGTTATCATCTTGCTGCTCATCTTTCTACGGAAGAGAATTCTCATTGCCATCGCACTCATCAAAGAAGCCAGCAAGTGGGTGCCAAGGTGTTGGGCTAGGGTGACCCCAGGGCTGCTCAGGCCCTGATGCCCATGCCTCTGCTCCTCCCCAGGGCTGTGGGATATGTGATGTGCTCCATGCTGTACCCACTGGTTACCTTCTTCCTGCTGTGCCTTTGCATCGCCTACTGGGCCACCACTGCTGTGTATCCACTGTCAGACCCCACTTCCTAATCCCAGGGATGGCTAAACATCAAACTTGCCTAGAAGTGACCTGCAGCTTCAGGCAGGTCCAAAACTTGATGGGGGAAGGGATCCTTTCCCATAAGCCTTTGGAGTCCCCCATCTTAAATCTTGGGCTCCTTAACAAGTCTCCAGCTTCCTGTCCACTTCCAATGAAGCCATTTATAAGGTCTTCGATGATGTCACCACCTGCCCAGTTATTGGGAAAACCTGCAACCCTGAGGTAGGTGTCCAGAGGTGGGGTGTGGCTATTTCCCCAGCAGCTCTAAGAGGATCTGAAACCTTTCATCTGAACTTGAGGACCATTCATCAAACATTTGGTGCCTGCTGTCTGCCCTGTGCTGGATATGAGGGGCGTGGAGGAGAAGAGATCCCACTTGGCAGCTCCCACACCCCTCTCTTAACCCAGTGATGACCAGTTCTTGCTTCTAGAACTACTTCTTTGCCTTCCACAATCCCCTATCCTGACCCCTCTGGTCCTCATACTGATCTCTGCCACTCCTGTACTGTCCATGTGGCCAGCCCACTGACACATGACCCCACCCTGATCTCTAAAATAGCCTATGCTACTTCACTGACACCCATTGAAGTCCATTCCATAATCCCATAGTTTTGTTTCTAGAACCCCTTTTACAAGCTTTAATCCGGAACCCCCCACCCCTTGACTTAACTCTGATCCCCATGACTCTTGTCCCACCCCATGGTATTGCTGACCCAGACCTACTGCCCACAGCCCACTCTGACCCCCAGGTCCCTATGTTGTGACTGGGCTCTGTGTCCCTCCCACAGACCTTCCCCTCCTCCAATGAATCCCGCCTATGTCCTGGAGCCCACTGCCAGTTCGCCTTCTATGGTGGTGAGTCAGGTTACCACCGGGCCCTCCTGGGGCTGCAGATCTTCAATGTCTTCATGTTCTTCTGGCTGGCCAACTTTGTGCTGGCGCTAGGCCAGGTCACGCTAGCTGGAGCCTTTGCTTCCTACTACTGGGCCCTACACAAGCCAGATGATCTGCCTGCCTTCCCACTCTTCTCTTCCTTCAGCCGGGCGCTCAGGTGAGACCCCAGGTGGGCTAGTGGTGGGCATGAGATGGGATGGAGGAGGCCTTGTCCAGCCACTGACCACGTGCTTGGCTTGCAGGTACCACACAGGCTCCTTGGCTTTTGGTGCCCTCATCCTGGCTGTTGTACAGACCATCCGAGTGATACTGGAGTATTTGGATCAGCGCCTGAAAGGTGAGGCCTAAATGCTTGGGCTTTGGCCTTAAACTGGGGAGGGGAGACTGAGGGGCTAATCAGAATTGGTTCTTGCTTGGGGGTGAGGCTAAAGTGATGGGACAGTGGTTGGTTTCTGACTATGGGGGTTCCTGAAGGGCTTGGGTGATTGGTTTCTGCCATGGAGATCCTGCTGAGGGCCTACTGGGTAAAGGATCTTAGCTCTGAGGGTGCAGGGCCTATAGGTCTGGGCCACTATTGGTTCCTGAAGAGAGAGGATTGGGCTAGGACTTGTTCGTTCTGAGGAGGGCAGGGCTGAACTACTTTCTTTGTAATGGAGGAGCTGTGCGGCTGGGGTTAATTGAACTATGGGAGCCTGCTAGGATTGGCGTCTGCCTGGGAGGTTGGGCCAGAGCAGTGGTGTGGGTTGTGATTGGTCCCTGTCTCAGAGGCTAGGCTTGAAAAGCTCCAGTATTGGGTCCTTCATTAGAGGCATCTCCCCCATATGTCCTAGATCAAGGAGTTTCCTCTGCTTGTTTCTGAGAAGGTGGGCTCCAGGAGTCCTACAGTGTGGCAAGTGTGCATAATGAGGGGGTATCCCCTCACCTTCATATCCCTCTATTCTCTTCCAGCTGCGGACAATAAGTTTGCCAAGTTCCTCATGACCTGTCTCAAATGCTGCTTCTGGTGCCTGGAGAAGTTCATCAAATTCCTCAACAGGAATGCTTACATCATGGTTTGTAGGCCCAGGACCCAGAACCAACCCACCAGCTTCTGTTGGGTGGGAGGAACCCTCATTCCCACCTAAGGGTCCTGATCCTTCCCTCCTGCCTGCCTCCAGATTGCCATCTATGGTACCAACTTCTGTACCTCAGCCAAGAACGCTTTCTTCCTGCTGATGAGAAACATCATCAGGTCAGAGAAAATGCTATCCTCTCGCCATCTCCCACCTTCCCCAGTCCCTGAGCCAGTGTTCACACCTGCTCCTCACTCTCCCTTGCAGAGTGGCTGTCCTGGACAAAGTTACTGACTTCCTCTTCCTGTTGGGCAAACTTCTGGTTGTGGGTAGTGTGGGTGAGTGCTGTTTGCCCAGCCTGCCTGGCTGTGGGAACCTATTAGGCTGTGGGGTCCCCTTGTCTTCTGTGGTGGGTTGGATCTTTGTGGGGATTACTTCCTTTAGCCAAAACCCTCAGCTGTCTTGCTTTTGTCGCCCTCTCCAGGGATCCTGGCTTTCTTCTTCTTCACCCACCGTATTAGGATCATACAAGACACAGCACCTTCTCTCAATTATTACTGGGTCCCTATAATGGTATGAAACTCTGGGGATGGGCAGGTGTCGGGGGAGAAGGAGGTACTGAGACTCAGCTGGACAGATAGAGGTAGGGGTCAGAAGTAGGGGATTGGTTATTTATTCCTACAAACATTTACTAAGCACATACTATGTACCACGCACAGAAGACTTACAGTTTAGAGGTGAGCAGACATTACTCAGTAACAATGTGGGTGGATACACAAGTACAAACTGGTACATGCCAGAGGGCAGAATTCTGGGGAAATTTGGAGCTTGTAGGGGAAGAATTTTGCAGGTCTGGGAGTCAAGGCAATTTCACTGTGGATGTGATATCAGATCTAAGGCCTGAAGGAGAAGCAGGCAACAACCAGGCACAAGGAACAGGTACAGAAGCCCGGAGGTGGGATGTACCAGGCAGGAAACCCATGAGGCTAGTGTGGAGGGAGGTAAGGGCAGGGAGGTGACAGGCCCTGGAGGGGTTAAGTCATCACCCCTAGGAAGCAGGAAATCTGAGTAAAGGCCTTGGAGCTCTATGGCCTAGATTTTTATCTTAGTCCTCTTTGCTAGTTCTAGGATGTGTAACTTTGGGCAAGTTATTTAATCTCTCTTAAGATCCACTGGCTTCAGTCAATAAATGTTTATCAGGTACCTGCCAAGACCTTGTGAGTCACCAGATTACTGGGGACATTACAATAATCGAGAGACACAGTCCAAGTGGGGATGTGGGCGTTGTACCTGTAATGCCCTAAACATGCATAAAATTGCAGCCAGAGGAAGATCTCAGAGGAGGGGTGCCCAGTACTAGGAGAGCATAAAACAGGTTCTAGATGTCAGAGGCAGCTTCTTGGAGGAGGTGGTACCTGAAGACTTGATGTTTGAGTTTAAAGTGAACAGTGAGGAAGCAAAATAAACTAGACTAAGTCAGGGCAACAGCATGTGCGAAGGCCCTGGGATTGAAGAGAGTAAAGCCTGCCCTGTGGATGGTAAGGCCCTGCACACAGGGGCGAGGAGTTCAGTTGGTTGTTGTTCCAAGGAGGGCTAATCAGCAAGAATGAACTGTGATTCCTCCTTGGGAGGGGCTGCGTGGGTGGGAGTCATCCTGGGCAGCAGTTGGGAGGGAAACAGCTCCTGTCCCCTCATGCAGACCGTGATCGTTGGTTCCTACCTGATTGCCCATGGCTTCTTCAGTGTCTACGGCATGTGTGTGGACACACTGTTCCTCTGCTTCTGTGAGTGACCCCTCACCCCAACGCTTGCTGGGCCCTGACTCCCTTCTCCCCTCTGGGCAGAACATCTTTCCATGGGGCTATACATTCACCTGCCTGATGTGCCCAGCTTCCCAGGGACTGGTTGTCCCTGATCCTAGGGCCCTGGCATGCCCTCTCAGCCTCTTCCCTGCGCTCCGAGCTGCTCTGCCCTGTTGTCCCCTGGTTTAGGCTACAGCTGGAAAGCTCTGCCCTGGGCCCTTGGCTTCCGAGTTTCCAGCTTTGTTGGGGGGTATCTGTGGCTGCCACTAACTCTGGTCTCTCAATCTGTCTGTTTTTGTTTTCTCTTCTCTTCCTCTCCTCCATGCCTGCTGGCTTCCCCGTTCTTCCCTGCCTCCCTCTTCCCCTCCCTTCCTGACCACCCCATTTTCCCCCTGCCGGTGCCTGGGGGGAGCCCAGGTGAGGACCTGGAAAGGAATGACGGCTCTCAGGAGCGACCCTACTTCATGTCGCCTGACCTGAGAGACATCCTGTTGAAGGGGAGTGCGGAGGAGGGGAAGCGGGCAGAAATCGAGGAGTAGGAGGCGTAGAGGAGGGAGGCCAGCTTGCGGCTTGGCAGGCCTCCTTGTTTCCTCCCTGTAGACCGGGGGTGCATGCGGGGCTTCCTTGCCTGGGAGTGTGGGGAGCGTGCGTGTGTCCCATTCCCAAGCCCCCAGTAGTCTGCTCCTCTCCAGTCCCAGTGTGTCTTGCTTCCTAACCCTCTGAGGCTTCTGAGGCCCCTGCCCACCCTGTCCCCAGAGGCTCCTGCCTGTGAGCTCCCCTCACGCCACCTGCTCTGGGGTCTCTCTCTGCAGTGGAGGACCTGGAGAGGAATGATGGCTCGGCCGAGAGGCCTTACTTCATGTCTTCCAATCTCAAGAAGCTTTTGAACAAGACCAACAAGAAGCTGGCGGAGTCTTAAAGGCCCCACCTTCCCTCACCTCCCTGTAAAGTCTCACACTGGGTGCTCTGCAGCTGGGTCCAAACTGCCAGCTCATTGGGCTGACCTGAAGTCCAGTCACTGCCACCCCCCATCATCCAGTTACCACCAGTTTCTGGGGACCTGGAGAATTTGTGACATCTTCCTACACCAAGGGTCAGTCAGACTTTTCATGGTGGCCTCCACAAGACTGAGCGATGACGCGTCAGTCCAGCCCTCAATGGCCTGGATGGGAAGAAGCCCCATGAGGGCTCTTGATGTGTCTGGCATGCGATGGGATCCAACCTCCATGGGCTGCCTCAACCTTCCTGTTCCCTCTTATGGTGGGATGGTGTTTGTGTCTGTGGGAGCCATGGCCACAGTAAGCTGCAGCTCCTCAAGGCCCTGGTTCACGGAATCTGCTCAGCCAGAATTGAGCCTCTTCTCATAGCTGAACAACTGGCTCACAGGCCGCCACATACATTTCTTTATTATTTTTTTAACCTGGCTATGCATTAAAGGGTCTATTAGCCTTTTTTTTTTTTTTCTGTCTGTCTCAGCAGCTAAGATGGGGCCACTGAGGAGTGCCTTCTGTTACCTGGTATGGCTGCAGTGGGGTATGGTATGAATGCCCAGGTGGGGGAGTCTTGTGGTCGGTGGGGGGCAGCAGCATGCCCTGTTGTTGGGAGATGAGGGAGTGATAGTGTTTGGTAGGCTGCTTTGAGCAGGCGGGAGGAGACTGCTAACAGCAACCTAATGGAAACCTGCTGGCTGGCTGGAGGAGCTGGGCTGAATTTTCTCCCCATCCTCTGCCAGTTACTGACACAGCTCTCTTTGTAAGAGAGAAAAGAAACTGAATCCACCCAAGGGACAATTTCAGGGGAAGGGATGCAGGGCAGATGCCACATGCACACTGGGCCCCCCTGCCCAGTCACCTCATCTTGAGGATCCTTTTGCCAAATTTGTTGAACTTGGGACCTGGTTTCCTGGTTCCCCCTTCGCCCTACCTTAAGGCCCCCAACTTCATGTCTTGGTTCATCTGCACCGTTCCAAGATCCTGGAGAGGGAGAAATTCCTGCCTGGGTCTCCATGTGCTGTGCCTGTTGCCAGCCCTCCCTCCCCTGTCTGTCCACACACCCTCGCGTGTAACTGCATTCCAACCACTAATAAAAGTGCCTATTGTAACAGCGTCTGGGCCTTGAGTATTTGTGGGGGCAGTAGGAGGCTGGTAAGGAGAACTCTAGCTTTGACTGCCCTGGGATTCTCTGAGCTGGGGTGACTGTGTCCAGGGGAAGTGAGGCCAGGAAGTCCTGTCTGCTGGCCCCTGTCTCCGCTTGAATTCCACCTCACCTTGCAGGTGGCTCAGGTTTCTCCTGAACAAATAACCTAATAGGTTCTGGTGCCTAGACTCCAGAAGGTGGCCATGGGCTGTCCACCTCCCACTGCCTTCCCTCAGTCACATGGCTTGGACACGTGGCCCTAGGCCTGCTTTGTCCCCTGGCCCAGGCATCTGAGGTGCCGCTTGGTCTAGCTGATTTGGACCTGGAAAGCTACACCCTGCCAGGCTGCCTGGAGGCTCACTGCTGCCCCCTGGTGCCAGCTGTCACCATCATCTCTGGGTCAAGTACCCCACCACGTTAACTGCCTTTCTCACCCCCGCCCCCGCCCACCCGGTGTCCACTTCACTGAAATTTTTTGTTAAAATAGCCACTTTTTTTAGTGTACCTTAGGAGGTTCACTATCTGTGTACCATACCTTACTTCTATTGCTCTCCCCATTCATTAAGGCAGAAAAGTTGAGTGACATGTTTAAATGTCGCCCAGCCAGCAGGAAAGTGGCCAACAAGGCATTTGAACCCAGGTCTCCTTCACCCCAAAGACCACACCCACTAACCTGTACTGGTGCACTCTGGGTTCCCTTGTTCACCTCCAGTCTTCAAGTATGTTTTTTCCTTATCCTAGCTCCTGTTAGCCCCTCCTCCAACATATTTCCTAAAACTGCCCACTTCTCCCCAAATCTTTAGCTCCCAGCCTTCATTATCACTCACCTAGACCAGTACAGTCCCCCACCCTGGTGCCCAGGTCCTTCCATCATGCCCCTGCCTCCAATGTATCTCCCACAGGTGCAGAAGGGGACCTGTGAACAACTGAGTTCACAGGTCTTCTCTGCTCAAGAACCCTTCATGGCTCCCATCTTACTCGGAATACAAGCCAAAAGTTCTCACTGCAGCCCACCAGGCCCTGTCCAATCTACCCTATCACCTCCCTCTTTCCGGTTCATCCAGCTACTCATGCCTCAGAGCTTGTGCCTGAAACGCTCCCCACCTGGCTCCTTCATTGGCTCAGTCCTCATCCTTCCACTTTCAGCTTAGGGATCATCTCCAGAAGCCTTCCCTGCTCCTCTAAAATTGGCCTCTCTTGGTGACAACCATGTCACCTTCTTTATTTTTTTCATGGCACTTGTCACAATCTGCAATCACTAATTTGTGTTTTCACTTACTAAGGATCTGCCTTCTTATCCAGAATGTCAGCTTGAAGTGGAACCAGTTCTTGCCTCTTCTTTACCGCCTTTGTTTGGATCGACCAGTGTTCGTCTCTGTAATTTGCAACTCTGAAAGGTCCATATCCAGAATGATCCAGGATGAGGTCAGGCCAGGGGGAGGGGGACCACTGCCATTTTAGAAAGGAGGCATGCAGGCACAGGTGTGCTGACCAGTCACAGGCTGGCCAAACACTCAAAGTGGCCCAGACAACTAACAGACACAAAAAAGACCATGCTGTGTGTTTCTAACTCTGTAACATTCTAGAACAGATTAAGCTAATCCTGGTGATGTAAGAAAATATTTAGGGATTGGCTAGTAAGGGCAGGAGGGAATTTCCTGGGGTGATGACACTATTCCTTATTTTGATTCGGATGGTACTCACACAGACATATACTATAAAAACGTTTGCCAAGTTGTACACTTATGGTTGTGTATATTATACTTAATTTTTCTAAAAGGGGGTGAAGGGATGTGGAAAGTTCCCTTTTGGCTCATCTATCTGTGAGGCTGGACTGGCTTGGGCATCAGAAGCAGGTGTGGTGGGTGACCCATGCATTCACTCCCTTGCTGTTTTGAACGCTCTAAGCCATGCATTCCACATAGCAGAAATACAGGAGTGAACAAGAACCGTGTTCCCTGGTTTCCAAGTTTACCATCTAACAAGGCAGACGGTAACTAAATGTGTAATAGGTAGTGATGAATACTCTGAAGGACAATAAAGCAGGGTAATTGGATAGTGCTCTTTAAGAAATGGTGGTCAGGCCCTGGCTACTGTGACTCAGTTGGTTGGGGCATCATCCCATGGACTGAAAGGTCACAGGTTCAATTCCCTGTCAGGGCACATGCCTAGGTTGCGGGTTTGGTCCTCAGTCAGGTTGTGCAAGAGGCAACCGATTGATGTTTCTCTCCCTTCCTCTCTCTCTCCTTTTCCCTCTCTCTAAAATCAGTCAGGGAAGATGGGTCTCTGAGGAGCTGTGAGGGGCTGAGGGCTGAGGGAGGGAAGGGAGCTCTGACTATGGAGGGAAGAGTACCTCAGGCAGATGGAACAGCCAGTACAAAGGCCCTGAGGTGGGAAAGTGCTTGAGTAAATGATGGGAGTAAGGTGTGAAAGGACACATCCAACTTTATATTATGGGTTTACATCCTCCTAGGCCAGTGGCACCAGCAGAAAGAACTTCTCTTTCTCACATAATCAGAGGCAAGTACTAGAACTGCCTCTCCTTTGGCCTGTTTTAGGGAACTATCTCCAAACCAGTCATTGAATGATGGGAGCGGTGAAGTTTTTTTTTTCTTTTAATTTTTAAAAATATTTTATTTATTTTAGTAAGGGGAGGGGAGGGAGGAAGAGAGAGAGAAACATCAATGTGTGGTTGCCTCTCACACACCTCCCACTGGGGACCTAGCCCACAACCCAGGCATGTGTCCTGACTGGGAATTGAACCGGCGACTCTTTGGTTCACAGGCCCACACTCACTCCACTGAGCCACACCAGCCAGGGCCCCATATTTATTTTTAAAAATTGTCATAAAATACATATAAAATTTACCACCTTAACCATTTTTGAGTGTCCAGTTCAGTACGTACATTCACAATGTTGTGCAGCCATCACTGCCACCCAGCTCCGGGACTCTTCACTTTCCCCAGTTGAAACTCTGTCCCCATTAAACAACTTATCATTACCCCTCCTCCTGCCACCCACCATTCTTCCTGCCTATGTGAATTTGACTCCTTAGGGTCCTCATGTACGTGGAATCCTATAGTAGTTGTCCTTTAGTGACTGGCGTATTTCACATAGCATACACCTTCAAGGTTCATTCATGTTGTAGCATGTGTCAGGCTTTCCTTCCTTTTTAAGGTTAAATGATAACCCTATAGTATGAATACACATTGTTTATCCATTCATCCTTTTATGGGCACTTGAATTGTTTCCACTTTTTGTTTACTGTGAATAAAGCTATGAACATGGGTGCGCAACTATCTCTTCCAGACTCTTTCCATTGGTGAATCATATGGTAATTTTACATTTAATATTTTTGAGGAAATACATTTTCTCGCTCCATCTGTTGGCTCAGCTTTCTTCTGGCTTCTCATTCTATCAAGTTCTGTTATTAAGGTACAGGCCCCACCCCCTAGCCACACCTTATATTTCCTTGGCTTCAAGATCAGAGAATGAGGGCTCCTCTTGCTCCACAGTCCCAGGACCTGGTGCTTACTGGCTTTGAGTGCCCCACTTTTGTCATTTACTATTAAGCTAATTTCTGTGGCCAGGTAATGGGCCTAGTCTTGGAGTCAGGCAGTGGGGATCTGCTTACTGAACTACTAATTAAGAAAGGTAGAGGGGTGGTTCCCCATAGCACTGTGGTCAACCCATGTCCACTCTACTGAGATGGTGGGAAGGTAGCTGGTATGGTTCAAAGCTTTCAAGGGGAGTTCTTGGGTGTAATCAGGGGAGTTAGAAGAAATCTTCGAAGATGAGGAATACAAGTGGATGATGTTCATGAGGACATTGAAGTCCTGAGGATGGCAAAACCTGTTTAGAGTGCAAGAGGCAGATAGACCTTAATCTTTAACCAATGAAGGGGAGGGTATAATGGGGAGAAGGGTATAGCCAGATGACAGGGGGTGTCAGTTAAGGCAAAGAAGTGAGAGAATAGTTATGTATACAGGGATCATTAACTATGTTGTAGTGGAAAAGCTCAGAGGCTGGGTTAGGGTGGAGATATAGTGATGAGAAAGGGCAGATGGCTTCTGGGGTCTCCATCTTGTATGGTGACGGAGGAGACACCACAGACATGGAGCATTGTAGATGTAACACGACCGGAGGTTTGGCTGAAAATCTATCCTGCAGCTCCTGGTGGGTGGGAGTAGTTGTGGGCCCAGGTAGACTACAGTTGTAAGGGAGTTTTGGTTTCCTCTAAACTTTCACTGCAGCCTAGGGGATCTTCTCAAAAACCCCAGGTTGCACAGGGCACAAATCCAGCATTAACGACCACATTAACTGTTTCTGCAGCACTTATTCCAGGTTGGCTACTCCAGCAAAACTTGGAGGTTGAAAAACTCCAGTCCCCTCCAGGGTTCCTCTGTGGAGGTTGCTGTTGGAAATCAGGATCCTATCTGCCCCTTTCTTCACTTGGGGTCCCTTTGATAGGGGGTTCCTTGACTCAAAAGCAAGTTTTTGAGGAATGTAACCTTGGGCCTTTCCCTAGGAAGATCTCCAGACTTGGGGGTCAGGAAATAAGAAACTTTCCCTGTTCTACCACGTGGTGGCGCTGTTAGCTTGGTCAAATTGCCTTGCTTCTTAGCCTGTTCTGCTGGTGTCAAGACACTGCTGATCTCTAGGGTGTTCAAGTCTGTTACTTTTATTATCAGTGACCTGAAACAATCTAAACTTAATCGTCTGAATACACACGCCATTAATTCTACCAAACTTTTCCTTAATTTCAAGTTCTCTTTAAGAAATATCTCCATGTTGGGGTGGAGGAGATGAATACTGTATCATTTATGAGAAAAACAGCAATAAAAATACAATTAAGCATCTCTGGGAGTAAAGTATCACTGTAGAGACACAAGAGAACTTTACAATGGCTGCCTAGGAAGAGGTTGTCAGGGTAGGAAGATTGACTTTGCCCAATCACACCCTTTT